GATATCTCCTGGCCCTCGCAGCTAAATAGAGAGTCGGCCCATGTGGAGCTCCCTCACCAGGAATAACCGGTTCTCCCCCACTTGTAGTTCAAAATCTCACTAGCTAGCATTCACAGTCAATCATGGCTCTATTGGGACCCAACCAATCCATCCCTATGATAACCTTCGACCCTCGCTGAGGATCGATACCAGTCAATAGATTACCTTTTGCTGGAAAAATTCAATACACACCCACGATGAACCCTTGAAGCACTCACAAAAAGATCATCAGCAATCTCAACCTCCAACAGATAATCCAGAGTCCCAGGATCATCACTAAGTTTCTTGCTAAGTGCAAGAGATACAAAGGATCGGGTAGCACCCAAATCTAACCACACCATAGTAGTCATACCATTGACTAAGAAAGTTCCTATACAAGATCAAATATAACATAAGTATAAATAAAGAAATAAATAGATATGCTAAAATCACGTACCAGTAACCACATCTAATGCTGCTCGAGTCTCATCGGTAGTCGATTGAAATGCTTTTCTATTCACCATTAGTGTATTCGCCTTGCCCGGGTGGCCATTAGTCATCCTCAAGGTGGCTAGTGTAGGTGCTGCCGCTGCCCCTCCTGTTAATCTCTAACCATTTGCATTTTATGGCTGATCTGATTGTAATGAAAGCAAATCAGTACACCATGGGGGCAGTCCTACTCATATGACTTGTCTGACTACATATGAAACAACCTGAACCTACTGCTCGGCATGCCTCACCATGTGGCTTGCCATACTAGCTGCATCGGCTCCATCCCTCCTGGCCTCTTGTGTGTAAATCAGAATTCATAAGCTTCTTAGCCAGGCCCACTGTTGTCTACACCTGGTATCTCTTGTGCTTTGTCAAAAGCTATAGCTCAATCTCCTCTTCTTGGGCCCTCACAATCATATCATTTAGGGTCTTGCACAACAAAAAGCTCAAAAATTCTCTAATCTCATCCTTTAGCATGCCATGATACCTTTTCTTCTTCAACTCCTCATCTATAACATACTATGGACCAACAAAGTGATCTTGTGGAACTTGGCGGTGATCTCCGCCATGGTCTCAGTAGTTTGGTGAATGTCTTGGAAGTCCCACACCAACTACTACCCCTCAATCGCAGGTGAAAACTTATCATGAAATCTTGTAACAAACTCCCCGTAAGACATGGCTACCACTGCCTCAGTCCCCAATGCACGACCTACCTCCTCTCACCAATCACGGGCTCAGTCTCTCAGAAGGAAGGAGGAAAATACCAACTTTTCCCCCTCAAGGAAGAAGCTCATTCACTGAGCATTCTCCATGTCAATGATCCATTAGCAAATGGTGATGGGGCCCTTGTTCCCAAAGAACTTTTGAGCTCTACAAGCCTTGAACTCTCGAGATGAGGGAGTCCAAGCTTCTAACTGTCTTGAAGTGATCTCTTCCCGAAGGGCCCCAAGTCGCTCATCCATAAGCTCTATAATTACCTCCTTTATGATACCAAAAATCATAGGGGTGGCCTCCATGATACTGCGAGTGATCTCAAAACAGATAAACTCACTTAATTTCTCATCAATGGGTTCAGCACCAATACCCAAACCAGATCTTGAAGCTCCTTCTCGAGTGAAAACCATGATCAACACTGACTGAAATACAAATATACAAATGATCAACAAAAAAACTCGAGGAGACTTCCTCTCTACACTACCCTTAGAAGCTCCAAGACCATTCTTGTCTCAAGTACAAATCATGTGCTTTCAGTAATACAGGCCCCAATACTACCTTCCACACCTATCTTCACTTTCCTTAAGAACCATCACGGACCCTCTATGTCGCCACACTAACTCCATACAAACCATTCATATGCTAAACAATATACATATCCTACTATGACATGTCCTAGGTTCTCCTAGAAATTCTTAACTCAATTGTTGTGTAATACTGAGACTCTCTAACAACATTGTTGGTTGCCTCATGCATGCAAGTTGTACACAAATGGGGTCGCATAGATTGTTGAATAATATTTCTACCTTAAACCCACAAAGAAGCAAGGAATAGGAAATGAGGCTAAACCGATCATTCTAAGGCTATATAAACCTAATGGTATACAACTTTTAAAGCATACACATAGAAAACAATTGAGTCAATATCAATTCCATGTAACACATAACATCCAATCTTCCTAAGTCATAAGGGATCACACAAATAAGGCAATTCTATCATATGATTCTCAAAGGTATTCTTAGCCTACACTAGTATGCAATTCACATATCTTATACACATGGGGATGGGTATCTTGGGAACCACTTACTTGAGCTTGGCTGATTTCATGCATCACACCCCCTTTTTACTTAGTATAAATCTTTTTAGAAATTTAATTTTCTTTTGAAAAAGATTATGATTTCTTCAGTGTGAGTTCTGATACACCCGAAAGTGTGTTCGAATCCTTCAAACCAAGGCTTTGATACCAACTTGTAACGACTCAAAATCAGTGATAAGTTTTTGTTTTTAAACCCATTAGTTTCATTCATCAAATATCTCTAATTCAAACACAAAATACAATATCAAAAACATCAGAGTACAAATATCCAATATAGTGTGGAAATCATGAGGGAAGGATGTTGGGCCATCATGTTGGGCCCTTCCCTTTCATACCAAAAGTACTTGAAACCATAAACATAAACTATAAGCACGAGGCTTAGTGAGTTTCTGAAAGTACCACATACCAAATAGAAAACTGTGCCTAGCCCTTGTGTATATTCCAACCCTGATACAAAAATGTAGGCTTAGCTCAAGGTTTCTTTCAACTTATCATATACTTATGGGCCCGACATTGGGCTTTATTTCAACCCAATCATGCAAACATGTAAGAGTCACATAAAGACTAACATTTTTCATAAATAATCTGGTGGGCTAGCATTGGTGCCTTCGACCCACAAGCATAGTGAGAAGACTTACCTCTAACTGAATATAACTAAATCGTACACTCAAGATGCTGCTATCATAGCTCCTCATACTAATCAAAACCCAAAGACAACCCTAATTAATAATCAAGGTTTTAACCTATAATAAATTATCTAAATTATATTTAATCTTACCAAGGTAAAAAGACCATTTTGACCTTCCCATGCATGACCCAAAATGCAAGGCCCAAAACCCTTAACGACCCAAGGCCAAAAAATGCCCCAAGTTGGTTTTTCGGGAGTACGCCCATCGTACAGCCCAATCTTGGAAGCGTTGCAAGGCAGCAACTGACTACACTCAATGTACTCAGGATTACACCTAACGTAATACCCTAAGGTCCAAACTCTCAACTAATGTCTTAACACCTAAAGACTTAACGTCCCAACGTCAGATCTAACCCTAATAAATGTCCAAACACCCAAAAATGTCTAAAAGGACAACTCGAATGTTCTGGAGTAGACTATACTCATAAGACCAAGGTTTTTAGGACAAAAGGTCATAACTTGCAAACTAAAAAGATCTACCAAGGTAAGAATCAATATTTGAACTTTATACCTACTAAAGACACTCAAAGATGATTAGATGTTTGATCCAAGAGTTTGTGTGCAACACCACAACTCCAAAGGTCATACTTCACTACCAAGAACACCAAAATGTCACTAAAAAGCTTCAAAAATCACACACAAGAACTAGGGTTTTGAGATGGGGGGCTAAAAGGGGTGCAGGCTGGTTATAAGAGGGTCCAAGGGGAGTTAATGACCTTATATAAGGGCCACACCCCGGATTTTAGGGTTTGAGACAACCTCGAGTATGCCCGTCGTACCCCTGAGTACGCTCAACGTACCACCAAAACACACGACTGTAATCAACTCTTACGCCCGTCGTACACTCCACATACGACCATCGTACAGACCTAATTTGCAAAGAAAAATAGATTTTGGGTTGAAAATAAAAAATACCAGGAAATGGGTGTTATATTTTTTAGGTTTAATAGGTATAAGTATTTATAGTTAGGGATCCTAATGTGTAGTTTTGTTAACAATCGATTAATAGAAAGAGTTCTTTGATTCCTATCACTGGACGATGTAAAACCTTTGTGTCATTTTATTAGTTCACTTTTCTTGATTTCTCAAAAAGATAAATGGGATGAAAATTTGGACAAAATGATCATTTGACTTTCTACTTAACCAACCATTTTGTTGGGGGCACATATGCAATACAACTAAACATTAATGACAAATTGTGCAATCGAGGGAACTTATGGATGATAACCATAACTCTTCACATAATGACAAAAAAGTTGTAACCGACTCAAACCATAAATGTTATTACATTACTATATAATTTGAAAAGAATTATTCAAAAGGTTATACATATTAATACTTTCGACTAATAGATCATTAAGAAATTCAAACGTTGGAGACATAAAAAAATATCGAATAAATAATTTTTCAGATGGTGTTAAAACGGTTAAAAATTTTAGCCGGGTTAAAACGGTTACACAAACATAAAGGGTTGTTTCTAAACATCATCAATTAGGTAACATGTAATCAAGCCACATGATAATTAGAAATGTGAAAAGTTTCATTCTTCTCTAGTTCTCGTGTATTACAAGTTTAACACAAAAACGTATAGAAAATATAAATAACATATTAACATCAAACTATCATCTATTATATTAGTATGCTTGATGTTGTAGGTACATAAGAGATTATTATGCATATCTTGGAATGCTTTAGATCCAAATGAATCTAATCAGCGAAAAAACAAGCTTGAACTCCATATCAAAACTAATAAGTTGAATTAACATAACCAATCGGATCTTCCAATAAATATAGAAACATTTCTTCCAGGTATTTTATCAAACACTTGTCGGGAATCGTTTAAAATCTTATCATTACATACCTAGAAATCAAATCATTCTAAGAAACAATGCTCCTTTCAAGAAACACTTCAAGGTTCACATTCAAAGTGAAAGCACAACATGAAATTACGTTTGTTTAACTATAGAAAAGCATTAAAATAGAGATTTCAAGATGCTCCCAACAAAATATCAAATTGAAGAAGATGATGAATTGTGTGTGTGGAGCTCATGGTGCCCTACACTTCAAGTCTTTTTAAAACTTAGCCCAAATTTCATGGAAGACACTCTATATCAAAGAAACAATTTAAGTGGTAAAATATATATATATATATATATATATATATATATATATATATATATATATATATATATATATATATATATATATATATATATATAAAATTAAACCATCAAGTGCATGTGTCCTAAAATGCCCCAACATCCTTAAATCCACCTCGTTTCGATTCATTTAGATTGTTAAAATTTATTATTTCACCTACTTCACTTGTTAATTAACATATAAGTAAAAGCAATTCATTTACAAGTAAGTGGATAAATTATAACAATAACAAGTGTAGTCGAAATGTAATTCCAATTCAAGGACCAATTATTTAGGATAAATAGTAACAATATTAATCGTGAATTATACCTAATATTCAAGGGACCATTTATGGAATTCACCCTAACCTTCTTACCTCTATGACTTTGCATCCATCGGCCACCAATTATCAACGCCAAACTCCCGATGTTCTCGCCCCTTCATTTTTGTGACTCCATTCCTTAAAACCCTTGTCCAAGTTCCTCTCTTTGCTCCTTCAGTTCTTATCAATCCCCCTAATTTCACTTACCCTTTCTGCTATCTTACTCAAAAGCCTCAAATCGCAACTGGGTATGTCCCAATTTTAGTTATTTCTTTCAAATTTTGAATCTTTAGGGTTTGCTCTGCCAAAACCCCTTCCCAAATTCATAGCTCTTAACGTAGTGGATCTAAAGCTAATTCCGAGAAGTAAGTTATGTTGTACTCTTCACTGTTATAATCAATTATCTCGTTGATTGCTAATTAGGTCCAGTTCTTGCCTCTAAACCTTCGAATTTCGAAACCCTAGTTTTTATTTTTTTTTTTCTATTTCACCCAATGTCTGAGGGGTATGCAATTGAGCTTTATTTTGATCCCGCTCTTGAAAACCAAGTTTTAAAGGCATGGAATGTGGTCGCTCGTCGCCAAATTAGCACTCACCTTATAGAAATCGAATCTAGACCTCATATTACTCTCTTTTCTAGCCCGTTTATCGATCCATCAAAGCTTGAAAACATCGTAAAAGGATTCGCATCAAAGCAAGACCCTTTACCCTTATCGTTTGGTTCAATCGGAAGCCTTCCAAATGACAACAATGTCTTATTCCTTGCTCCAACTCCTACTTTACCCCTCCTTCAATTCCATTTCCAATTATGTGATGCGATGAAGAGGGAAGGAATTGAAATTGGTGAAGAGTATCGCCCAGATTCATGGATTCCATTCTGTCCTGTTGCTGAAGAGGTTCCAAAGAATCGAATGGCTGAAGCTTTTACAGTTTTGAGGGATTTGAAGTTGCCTGTTACTGGATATGCGATGGATATTGGATTGGTGGAATACTCTCCTGTTCGTGAACTCTTTTCCTTTGTGCTTGGTAACTCGGTTGAATCTTGAATCTTGAATCTTGAATCTTGAGGTTTGAGTCTTTTTTAAAGATATTTGTTCTTCGTGTTCATGTTCATGTTCATGTTTGTGTTGATTAATATTTAATATTTATCTTTTGAATTTGATGTCGTCTTTTTCTGTTGTAAAAAACTTATTGTAGAATACCATTGGTTATTTGTTCTCATATAATATTATGACATGCTATAAGTTTCTATATATTTGTTCTCATGTAATGTGAAAAACGTAGGGTACCCATTTGGGTAATTTAGATGTTTATTATCAAAGTGATTGTAGCATCAATTAGGTTCTTTTATATTAAACATAAAAATGGTATATCCTTTTCTTGAAATATGATTATAATGATATCAAAATATCGTAAAGTCGTAATCAAATGATGCATAGCTTGTATGTTTATGTTTTGGACAAAAAAATGGCATGTTACTAATGTAGTATTGTTGATATGAGGTTTCTTTCATACATATTTGAAGTGTTTTTTTCAAGATTCTATGAGTTTCTCCATTTGGAAGATCTATTGTCCTACATGTTTTGTCATTTAGTATTCGCATTTGTGGGTGTGGTTTAATATGATGTGAGAAAAAAATAAATGTGTTATGATATTAGAATATGTTAGATGATTATAGAATTTAAGATGAAATCATAAACAAAGAACACAAAATGAATGAAAATCGTACATACATGAATTGAAAAATCAATTTTTGTTATCTAATGAGCAAATTAAATATGTATAGTTTTTAATTCACACACTTGAAATTATAACATTATTATCTTCGCATTGTGTAATTGTTACTATGATTTTGTTTTTCAAATTAGTTTGTGATCGTTCTTATTTAGGTCGCGTTTGTATGTACTTTTGTGAAAAAATATATATTATAATTGTTATTAACTATTAAAAGTTAAAACGAGATAATTATTTATTATGAAGTTTTTAAAGTTATGTGTAGTCAGGTAATTATAGATAATAGATGCATGTTAAAATTTCAATTGTTTTCTAATAATTCCTACATGTTTCTTTAAATTTGATTAGTTTAATCCTAAAATATTAAACAACGCTACTATGAAAGTTTTGATGTGGTGTTGTGTTGTGTGCAACATTCAAGCCTAAAGATTTAGACACTAAAATAGTAAACAACAATGTTATGTCAAGTTAACTCCCAAATCATAGGTATATTCATCTATGGGAATTTGTTTAAAAATTCCATAGTTTTGTAAGTATTGTCGAATTAAGGAGTTTTTCTTTCATCACCGATTGTCTACAGGGTCAAATTGATAAGTTACTACTTGTAACTAGGGGTGAGCATTATAATCGGGTACCAGTTTTCGGAATCGGAACTGTCGGTTTCGAAATTGGAATCGCCTTATGCGGTTCCGGTTCCGACTCTTAAAATTTAGGAACCGTCTTAAGCGGTTCTGGTTCCGGTTCTCATTTTTTTAGAACTGCTACCCGTCGGAACCTATATATATATATATATATATATATATATATATATATATATATATATATATATATATATATATATATATATATATATATATATATATATATATATATATATTGCTTTCAAACATCATTTTATAATATTTATAATTTAAAAGGTAAGTCATCAAGTTATAATTTTTTCATAATGTAATTTTTTTTTATTTCTTAAAAATAAGACACCGGGTACCTGGAACCGGAACTGGTTCCGGGAGCGATTCCAAATCTTTAGGAACCGATGGTTCCGATTCCAAAAATACAGGAACTGCCGGTTCCAGTTCCTGTAAAATTAGGCTAGGCTGACACCCGCTTTTGCTCACCCCTACTTTTAACACTGAAATACAACGGCTTAGCATCGCTAACGTCTGTGATTATCAACCCATACACATAAACTTTTGTTCTATATATCTACAGTGTGAAATTCATATATTATATGTGTTCATTTAAAAAATAAATAAATATAAGAGTCAAAATATTTGAAAATTTCAAATTTATAAGAAAATAATAAAATGTGGAATTATTATAATAGAAATGTTTATTATCTTTTAAACTTAAACTAATACTAATTTAAATAAATAAAAGAAACTAATAAGTTTTAATTTTGAGGATTTTGAAATTAAAAAGTAAGTTCACTAATGAAAATTGGTATTCATTTGTTACTACACTAGGTGTGAGACCCATGTATTACATGAGTTTATTTTTAAAAAATTAAATATGAAATTTTAACAATTTTGAAAGTTTGAATTTATAAGAATAATGAAAAAAAAATGAATTATTAAAATTAATAAGACTTTAATATATTGAATAAATTACATATATAATCTCTTTCTAATAAATAACTTACATATATATTACCTTATATATTAAATGTGAAATTTTAATTTAATAAAATAAAAAAGACAATAAAATGACAAGTGGAAAATAAAAAAATTCAAATATTCTAGAAAATATCATGTGTCCAAATAAAGGAGAAGATGACATGTGGCAACAAACTCTTTATTTACTAAGGAGGATTTATTATAATTATTATATTAAAATATTATGTGTAATTTAATAAAATAAAAAACTCATAAAATGATATGTCGAAAAAAAATTAATTCAAAATAACCACAAAATGATATTTGACAAATTGAAGGAGAGTATGACAAATGACAAAAAAAATCTTCAATTATTAGAGAAAATATACTTGTTTTACATTTATATCCTCTCTAATAAATGAAGATTTTTTTTTACCACTTGACACACTCTCATTCAATTTGTCAAATGTTATTTTGTGGTTATTTTGAAATATATATATTTTTTCTAAATACTATTTTATTAAATTCTACATAATATTTAATATAATAATAATTGCAAAAAATATAGTAATAAATGAATATTAATTTCACTAATAAGCTTACATTTCAATTTCAAAATTTCCAAAATTAAAGTTCATTAGTTTTATTTTCTTTATTTATATTTATTTAAATTTAAAAGATAAAAAATATTTCCATTATAATAAATCATTATTTTTCTTATATCTTATAAATTTAAAGTTCTCAAATATTTTAACTTTTATATTTAATTTTTTTTTTTAATTAACTCAAGTAATACACAACTCGTAAACCAATATAAAACAAATTATTGAATATACCAGACCATTTGAGTTTATTTATAATATATCAGACCATTCGAGTTTATTTATCACATCTATAAATATGTTCATACAAGTATGTGGTTAAACAAATTATAGTTCACCTCTAAATCTTAATATTTAGAGTTTAACCCTTATTTAACTTTTTTTTACAATGTTGATCCGTCTAATTTTTTTACCAATTCTCTAAACATTGTTTATAATTTTTTTTTTGTAAATTGCTTTATTTTTTTTAACACTAGTTAGCATTTTTTTTTTTAATTAGATAGCTTCTTATATATATATATATATATATATATATATATATATATATATATATATATATATATATATATATATATATATATTTAAGAAAAGTTTCTTTGGTATCAACCCTAGCTCAGTTTATATTAAGTCTGACAATTCTCAACATGATATGCGACTCGTCATGAAATAAATGAGTTTGGGTTGAGTTTTTCAACCCGCCAACCCGTTTTTAATTCTAAGAAAAGAATATATATATATATATATATATATATATATATATATATATATATATATATATATATATATATATATTTGAATGTATTAAGATGTCACACCCCAAAACCGGAATGGCGGAAACATTCTGGGGTGTATGACGTCATGTCAAGTATCACAACACATGCATTATAGAAATCAAAGTACAACAAAACATTGCATTAATAGTAATAGTTTTACATGGTTCACATTACAATATATCGAAGTAATACAAGTAAATGTAATAAGAACAACTTGGTACTAAGTTATCTTCATCAACAGCTCCGAGGATGTACCTGTCTAATGCTGACCTGAGAATACAAGTTATTTGAAAAGCGAGTATCAGCATTTTTACAAATGCTGGTGAGTTCATAAGTAATTAGTGACATTTTAATCAAATAACTTTATAATGTAGTTGTTTAAGAGTTTACAGTGTATTAGAGTTCTTTCCAGAAAATCCTATATTTTCTTTAATAAAAGCAACCTTCTACCCATACTGGACGGGGTTATGTGGTAAAAAGTAGTTTTCCCTTAATCGCTATCATTGTCAAAATACTGAATTTGATTATTAAAGGAAGCGAGAAAAGTCAGGGAAATAACATATGCCTCAGCACTGAGGACTGTTGACTAAGGCAAAGGAATCATAGACTTCAGGAGAGTATCGAATGAACGACACGCCTGGTTCCGTATAACAAATGGAGACACAGAGCCCAGAAGGTACCAAATGAAAGGTATAGCTGGTAAGGTCTAAAACAATGAATACAGACCGCAGACAGTATCAAATGAAAGATACATCTTGCAAGGGTAAAACAGAGAATATAGACCGCAGACAGTATCAAATGAAAGATACATCTTGCTAGGTCAAAACAGTGTGACTCTGAAATTGAGTTACCAGCATACAGTGTAAATTGTCGGTGAAATACTGTTACCTTAAGGCCATGAATTATAAGGCAACCTGGGATACTCGTAACCATACTAACCGACACTAGAGTACCTGACGCCCTACAAGCGTCTATAAATTATGACATTTTTCACCCCTTGGCTTGGTGGGCCGTGGACTGTAGCTAGCAGTTAGGGTGCGGGGGTGTCAATCTCGTATAGATCTATACACACATTGTCCGCTCTCCCTACAGGAGACTTTGGTTACCAACTAGACGACGGAGAAGGCCGTGTATAGAAGATGCATCCCAAATAGTGGGTAAAGGGTTTCATATGTAAGTGTTGAACTAGGGGTAGAGACTCATAACTGGACTGACTAATGTAAACCTATATATCTATACTCGTATACATAACATACAACAAATGAACCAAACTACCTTCGGACGGCCATCCGATCCCACCAGACCACATCTCAACGAAGAAAAGGAAATAGGGCGGACAAAC